TTATCTAACCTTCACCTCATGCATAAACATTATACTAAAATGCAGCACTTCTTCTTTTTGATTTCAAATGATCGCTAACTACCGGAAAAACTGCTGCACCACCTTGTTCGACATCACTTAATTAGAAATATTTATTATAATTATAGCAAATTTCTAATAATATTCAATTAACTTATATAAGTTAACCATGTAGCAATGCGATTTCCTAGAAAATAAAAATTATTATAAAATTTCAGCTCATCAGCACCAAGACGCGAAAAAGCATCTGTCTCTCATTTCGAAATTTAACTTAGATTTTTACTAAATTAAATAAATAAATATTCATAAGTTACTCGTGCAAAATCAATATATCATTCATAATGACCATCAACACCATAATTTGCAATCGAGTTATTTTATTTTTCTATTCTCTAATTATTCACATATCTGAAGATCTTCAGCTGTTATCATACTTAAATTTGTTACAGTTTCAATTAATCGAGAAAAACGAGAAACAATTGGTAAATCTTCATTACTTGACTAACCACTAAAAATAAAATCAAAATCAAACTTGAAATTATATCGATATTTGCAGATAAATAAAAATACAAAACAATAAATAGGAGTAAGATCAATTAATAATGACAAAAACATTTGCAATTTAAGAAGCAAAAGCAATATTTGCTTCAACTCACATGTTCTTATTTTCATATTTTAGAATTTGTATAATTGCTCTGCTTGACTACAAACATAATTAGAAATAATTATCTTAGATTAAATATTCATGAAATAGGAATGAAAATAAAGAAAAATTCTTTTTAATATTTGATGAAATAGAAATAATTTAGTCTGATAGACTCGAATTTTCATCGAAACAATTCTATTCATGAGATTTATGCTTTGAATCTCGAAAAAATGTTTAGAGATTCATTGAATAAATTATCTCTATTCTTCTCTCATTGAGATTTTTTTCATAAACCCTTCGTATTCATGGAAGTTTTGTATATAGAATCTGCATTGAACAAATATAATAAAGAAAGAAATTCAAATATGAATAATTTCGGAAATGATATTCGATTTTATTTATTTAAAAGCAACATTGTTCGCAGTCAATGATTGTTTTGGAGAAAAACGTTCGAAAATATCTCTCGTCGATCTTTCATTTTACAAAATAGAAACAATATTCTACTATATATTCAACAATAAATAAAATCATTCGAACAACATAATATGTAATTTCCTACATGTGTAAACAACTAACAATAAATAGATCTTTTATTTTTTAGTAACTCTTACTGTTTCATTAATCAGTCGATTTAAAAGTATCAGTCACAAATTTGTGAACGAGAGCACCTTATAAGAGTAAAGAGAGAATTTTCTTTCTAGCAGATTTTCTAATATTTCTTCTTTCTATTTATATAGAAGATACTCTTTGTGAAGCAAGTCATTTGATTTCTTTAATATCTCAGTTATTAAGAAAATCATGAAAAAGAAAAATAGTTGGTTGATCTAATAATTGTCCTTATTTAACAAGACTTCAAATAAGAGATGGATGATTATTATAACGATAACGACAAAATAATTTTGCTTGACGTTTTATGACTTCAACAGATAAAGTTAAATTCTAGAATGATTATTTCGAAATCTATTAATTGTATTCGATTTTGTCGACAAAGTTTTGTCATATATTTCACGTTCTTCGAAATAATCATCGGATCTTACATTATTTATTTTAGCATTTTTCGTTTGTGTAACTGTTCGAAATAATTTTAAATTTTGTTTATCATTTGTATTTATATCACCTTTTCGTTCTTGTTTAGTTAATGTTTGATTTTTTCTCATAGTTTCGTAATAAATTTTCTAATTATTAGCATGAACATGATCCGAAACTAGAAAAATTCAAATATGTTTTGCTTTTAATGAAAAGAAATCAAATGTTATTTAGAGATTGTAAGCATTTCTTCAGTTACTGCTAAAGTATGTTCAATATTTCCTTCCGACAAAATATCAAATTTAATTCAGCATAAAGAGAGAAAAAGAAAATCTTCTTTTACTTGTGATGTTATATAAGCAAGATAATCTAAAATATGAATTTTATTTCGAGATGTTTTATTTATTTCTTTATTTAAATGATCGAGTGCTTCTTGCGTCCACATTAATGTATAATAAAAATCTCTATTTGTATATGCAACACATTCCAAGGCTATAGACAAGCAAATTAGAGAAAAATCGATAAAGAAATTTTTCTTCGACTAACTACCTAATTGTTTTCATTTAAAGTTTTTACTTATTTCACCATTTCTTAATTGACTTTTATTTTATTTTTATGTATCTTGAAAATGCATTAATACGAAACTTTTGTGAAAAATCTAGAAAAAATATTAATTGATGATTACATTAAATTATTTATACTGGCAGATAATAATTCTTCAATATTATACCATTCGACTGTTAAATCTTTAATAAATAAATAAATATGAATTAATTGAATTACCAAAATAATAAACTTCATTTACTTGTGCTTCTCCAATTTCATCTTTAATTATATTTATAATTCTTTACAAAAATTACATATATATGAGTGAATTGCAACTTTTTGGTACAATTAGATTTTTGGTGTATTTCACTAATAACTCCAGTTTGCGCCAGCCGATTTCAACGATTTTTTGATATGTTATAGTGCTTTGAACACCTCACTGCCGTGCAAAATTTCAGCTCAATAGCTCATGTTATTGCTGAGTTATAAAAAATTTATGATGAAAAAATGTCATTTTTTCATGACATTTGCTAAGAAAAGGAAATTTTTCGACTATAAAGAGGCAAGAGGAAAAGGAGATAATTAACCTATTTTGTACAGTTTTTGACGCTCTATCGAAATATGTATCTAATTTTAGTCTGAATTTTCATTGGTTCGTTCATCTACTGGTCACATTGTTTAACAGACACTTGTTCGTTTTTATGTAGAGTGACGGAAACACGGTTCTAGCTCAGCCTATGATAGAGCTGGCAGCGCGCGGATGATATAAAAAGAAAGCCAACACTTTAACTAGGAAACTGATATAAAAAGGTTTTCTCTTATCAAGTTTATTTCAAACAAAAAAAACGAACTTTCGAAAAAAAAAAGATATTTACTCACCTTGTAGAGTGACGATTCGACAATTGTCTGATTTATAACTCTCGAACAGGTCGTCAGATTTAGTTCAAATTTTTAGAGAATGTATAAAACAAAAAGTTTTATTAGTGGTAAAAAATTCAGCCTTGGATCTCGTACCCTTCTCGAGAAATTTACATTATACTGAAAAATGTAGAGTGACATTTTTCAATAAAATAAGGAAGTGGCTATGTGCACTCGAGTGTACATAGCCAGGTGGCTATGTGCACTTAAGTGTACGTAGTCAGGCGGCTATGTGCACTTAAGTGTACGTAGTCAGGCGGCTAGGTGCACTTAAGTGTACGTAGTCAGGCGGCTATGTACACTCACACAGTCATAGAAAATATTTGGCAAAAATTAAGTTAGATCACTCTTATATGCACTTCATTTTTAACATATATGAAATTCCTAAAGGAGACCCCCCTTTCCAAAGCCAAAAATTTTTTTTTTCGATTTTTTTATTTAACAGAAAGTTGTATGAAGATTCTTTTCAGGTGTGCTATAAAAACTAGAACTTCCCAAAGTCTGGAAGTCTCTAAAAAGCCAGGTTTTTTGAAGACCTATGAAAACAAATTTTTATTTTTTTTACTAAAAAGTTATATTATGATGTAGTATATTTCTACTATCAAAATCAGAACCACCCAAGGTCGACAGGTCTCTAGAAAACCAGAGGGTTTGGCAACATATGCAACAAAAAAAATTTTCTTTAGTTTTTGTAGTTTTAATTCTAATGATATTTCATCGAAATTTTTAGTTCTATTCTCTAATTAATTAATAAATAATAATCAATTAAATCTGACATCAGATTTAAATTCTCTACCTTCGAATACAGTTTTTTAAATATTATAAAAATCGGCTTCACTAATTAACGATTAATTCGTGTCTAGTTAATAATTAATTAATTAATTAAAACTGACTTCAGATTCAAATTCTTCATGCCCAACTATCCTTTGCCCCAAAATTAACAAAAAAAACTAAGGTATAGGTGAAAATAAGTGAAGTGTGGATGTGAGTAAGAAACAAGACTAGCATGTCATCCATATTACACGCACACTCTTAAATCGGTTGATATTTATCTAAATTAAAATTTTTTTTATATTTATATAATTGTAACATTTGATTTGCACATTTTTTAAATATAGTAAAAAACTACTAATGTTAAATTACTATTAAGTTAAGGCATTTCATATATGTTAAAAATGAAGTGCATATAAGAGTGATCTAACTTAATTTTTGCCAAATATTTTCTATGACTGTGTGAGTGTACATAGCCGCCTGACTACGTACACTTAAGTGCACATAGCCACCTGGCTATGTACACTCAAGTGCACATAGCCACTTCCATAAAATAACGTTTTTTATGGTACATTTACATTGAGTAGGTCGTATCTCAGTTAATATGCGGTAAAGTGTTGGGAAATTTTTACTGTGTAGCACAGGCACAGAGTATAATAAAATGCACTGATCAGAAGTTGCCTAGGTCTACTTTCAGTTTTTCGCACCAATTGTACCAAAAAGTTGCAATTCACTCATATATATATATGAATCTATTATAATAATTACTTTTCTATCTCATCTAATCATTTATATTTTTCTTTTAAATATACTTCAAACGTTTTTGCTAATAATATTTCATTTTATGATAATTGAATTAAATGTCTTGTTGAATATGAAATAAGAACAAAATAATATGAAGAGGACGAACATTGATACAATTATCAAATAAGTTTAATAAAAATAATTAAATGAGAAATATTAAGTTTAAACTCAAAGAAAAAAAAGAATAGATTTTGAACATTATTAATTCGTAGGAAATCAAAACAACTCTTCCTTGAAATATTCGTCTAATTTCAATTTTTTTCTCATACAAATCAGTTTGATTTTATTCATTAAATGTTTTCCAAATCATTTGAGCAAGAAAAAAAATCTATAGAATATACAAACAAAACAAAAATGAATTTTAACATAAAAAGTTTAAATATTCAGACGATATAGAAATCTAGTGAAGACTAATGAAAAAAAAATCAAATGAATTTCTACATTGCATAGATATATTTTAGAGCTTTTCGAATAATTATATTTAATTCTTGTTAAGAACATCAACCATTCGAAAGATTTCATTTTGTCGTTTTATTTCAAAGTAATAGTCAAGCTTTCAATCTATAATTAAACTTTTTGTCAACACAAGATTATGAAAAAACGAGAAAAATATCAACGAAGATCTTTTTTTTTTCTTTTCTCTTCTCCTTATCAATAGTCGAAGCAGAACGAAAAAGAAAAATGACGTTAGCTTGCGTTGATAATAAGTTTGTATAGACATGAAAAGTATCATTCTTACTTTAAAATAAAATAATCGACGGAATTACTTTATTTAATTCTATCCTGTTAAATAATATAGAAATTAAACAAATATATATTTAATTAAAAGATTGTCTAATCTATCTCCACATTGGTCAGGCATTCAAATATTATTCAATTCAAAATTTATATGAGATTCGAATATATTTTTATATACTTTAATCAATCAACGGATATTAAACGTTTATTCTATCTGTTAGTTAATGTATAGGTGAAAAATATATATATATATTATAGATTGCATTGCATAATGATATAAATATAAACAAACACACACAAATATAGACAAATTTCATCTCATTTTTTTTCTTTTATAAAACAAAATTTTTAATAGAAAATTTCAAGAAGAATAATTCAATGTTTTACATTAACTTGTTGTTTATTTTATGAAAAACTCTTTGATAATAATCTTAAAGGATAATTAACGCTTTGAAATGCAAAATAAAACTGATCGATCATTGTAACAAAGAATAAAATCTATAGATTATTTTCTTCTTGTTCGAATGTTTATTTTATTGGAATTACAATGACGAACGGATGGGAGTACACAATCCACCGTTTTTCTCCTGCCCTCCTCTTACTCGATAATCTTTGTAAAAGCGAAATATCTCGAAGAAAATTTCTCAAATTCTATCGTTGTAGGTTAAAATAATTGAAATTTATTTTCATATAAAACAATTAAACACAACAATAGAACTTAACACCTATCCAACAATATGCTCCATCCCCAAACTTGCTAGATCCCATGTTCGTAGTGCGAATTGGACAACCAGAACCAATGAAACAGAATGGTGCATCTCCTTGCCAATAACATAATTGACCAGATGGTTGTTCATAGACACGAAACTTGTCAGCAATACATAATGAATGTTGACATATAATCATTCCCATCAATAAAAATATTAAACGTGAATAATTAATCATCATATATCGTACCTATAAATATACAAACAATTTCAATGAATAATTAAATAAAAGTTAATTCTTGATAAATAACTTTCGAATGTTTTATTAATATATGTCAATAGAAAATTCGTTAGATTTTATCGATTAAATACTTGTTTTTAACATATATGTGCACTAAAGACAAACATCATTATTAAAATAAAGTCTCTTATCTTTTTTTTTTATGCGATTCCATTATTTAACAATTTTTATTTTTCTAAAGATTCGACAAAACCATCCAGTTGATATATTTTTTATTCTTACAGTGTTTGCATGTAGATTATCAGTAATCACAAATGAAATAGATAATATTGAAGAGAAAACCAATTCTTATTATTATTCCCGTACGAGAATATTAGATAAGGAAATATTAAAGAAAAAATGTTTGTGAAAAAAAAGACATAAATACTTAATATCTAAATGGATTGAATAAAAATAATCTACGTCAAATATTAATTTCACCAATTAAATAATCGAATATAAACAGTTACAAACCTTTCGTAGTATTCGATACAATAAAGCGTATGGAAGATATGTTTGAATACGAAAGTATTTGATTTTGTAACTTCTAACTACCAAAAAGAGATATATTATTCTAAATAATAGAAATAGATGAAGAATAGAAATATTTCATACATCAAATAGCACTTCTTCTGATTTTCTATCTCGTTTTTTGCATCGTACATATTTGATTGACACAAAGGTTAGATAAGACATTTCATCGATGTCAATTATCATTAATAATAATAACACTTCATACTTCTCTATATATTATCTTCATAGAAAGAAAAAATTCATCAGTTAGATATTCTTTCTTTCATCTAGTATAGATTATATATACTTATCCATGACACTCTTATTACTAAAATCGTTTTTTTTGTACGTTTAATTTGTAAAGATAATAATCTCATAAAGAATATTTTTTCATAAACATTATTAAAAATAATCTAAATAAGTTTACTATGCATCTGACAATTGAATAGAAAAACTAATTACCAAATATCATTTTCTAATATAACAACTCGAATTATTCTCATATTTTAATATTATTTCGTATATGGATAGAATAATTCTTAAAAACATTTTCTTCGCAAAACATTTATATATGAATATCTATAAGAAGAACTTGTCAGCGTAGCCTCGTTGAGGCTAAAATGTGAAACTCACATGATTGAATATTAACCAAGAGCTTTCTAATCGAGATAAATATTTTATTTGAGGAAAAAAACACGTTAGATGATAATTCTTCGATCAACGATAATACTTGTTTAAAGTTAGCTGTCTGTTCATAGAAATATTCAAATTTATCGAATTTTTACATTGCGTAGGCAAATTTTTTTCTCATTTCGCTGTTACTATTTTTATTCTTTTTCTCTAATTTATTAGTTTCGATCTAGATTTTCGTTGATTTCATTGTCACATACCTTTATTGAATCATTCATTTGATGGAACATTATGTTTGAATGTAATCAATTCTATAGTTTGATGAAACGTCAACCATACATAGCGATTTATACTCAAATCTAAAACCTGAGCTGCTCACGCGTTTCAAGTCGATTTCATATCATCTGTGGTATATCTATTACAGATTTATTCACATAATCGTGTGAATGTAGGTATGGGAGTACAGTATCCATACCTTTGGTATTTTTCCATACAGTTCATTTTACTTTTCAAGATATTCTTGGTATTTCCAAGTTCATGCCTGTATATAGTTACTGCGTTTCGAATAAAAATCATCTATGTTATTGGTGCCGTTTAATACTCTCTATTTTGCTTTGGGAATCACTCTGATAAATCCCTTCGATGAATGTTTTGAATCGTTTCTACATTAATCTGAAGTTAAAAATAGCTTCTCTGTAAAACGTTGTCATCGTTTTGAAAAAATTTTAATTAAAATTTGAGTGTACTTTCATACCATACGATCTCAAAGTCACAGGTCTTTACCTTCTTTCGTTCTCGAGTTATTGGGAAAATAGATACACATATGGACTTTTTGGATGGAACACTTACTGCAACGCTTCAACAATGGAGTTATTAGGTACCATAAAGGTAAAAACCTTGTATCGAAAAGTATCCCTTGACTTTCCTCTGGTGAAAAGAGCATGTCATGCGAAATTGGGTTGTAGTGGCTCGTCAAGGGTCCATATGTATAAAGAACAAAAACAAATAAACTTTCTTCTTTATATATTAGAATATCTTGATAATCTCCTCTTTTATTTAGTATTATTAATCAAGCATTTATATTTGAAGTTTTTTACTTTTTTTAATAAAACTAAGCAGAAATATAGCGACCCATATTAATATTATTTGTAAGCAAAGCGGCTAGTATGTTTTTTTCCATAAAATAATCATGTAGAATATGTTTAATCAGCGGATCCAATTATGAATCTACAGATGTTTGTGTCATAACGGAAGTATATATGTTTACTGGAACTAAAAATCCTTGTTTATCATTATTTGTTTTTCGATCAGTTGAATGTGGGAAGAATTTTGATAAATACATACAAACGAACACTATAACGGTCAGAATTATTGTTAAAAGAAAAAGAAAGAAAAGAATAGTAAACAAGATAGTGTGAGTTTCATCTTTTTGGTTAGGATCATTATACATGTAAGGCCAATCAGAATATAAAAGATTATTAATCAGAGATTGATTTGTGCCCGATGTATTATTTATCGATAAGACATTTTCACGATGCGCAATAAGAGAGTGGCTTCTTTTTTTCTCTATTTCACCGCGAATAGAAATTAAATAATTAATGTACGAGCCGAGTAGGAGAGTGGCGAGTGCTATTCCAACTGCAACAAATATTCCTACAACCGAACTTTTTCGAGAGGCACGTTTCATACGAGGACAAATATTATAACAAGTAAATGGAATACGTCCAATTCCTATAAGAAATCTCACAGAACTTTTATGAATTAATTCAAATGTTGAAAACAAATTAACTTACGACGACCATTTCGATGTTCATTAACTCTCTGTTCACAACATGGACATGGAGCATCATCGCTCATCAATTCAGGTCGGATTAACTGAAGCTCGATGAGAGAGTCTTTTGATAATTTGCAATTCATTTATTATCAACACAATAATTAGAAAAAAAAGCTGAACAATTCAAAATAATTATCTAAAACAACAAAATAAAAATAAAATTACTTTTTTTAGTCATTGCACAATACTGATTTTGATAGACTCTTTGCGAAAATATCAGAGATATATTATCGATGATTTACTTATAAACGTTGTATAAGGTATTTACTTCTATTACAGGTAAAAAATAATTTTTATGCCTTGTATTGATTGGAAAAAAATGGAATACTTCCTACTTTTATTTATAACATTCAGTCAGGTTTCTTTTTTTATTGAACTATCTTGTAATTTCATCTAATCTTGGTGACTTTTCAAACTTCCAGTATGCTCTCTGATCTGTTCGAAACGATAAACTATACAACTGAATTAATATAAGTTTATTTTATAGTCGCAACATGGTACAAATTAGTATACTTCTTCACAAATATCAATGACAATTTTCAACAAACTGAAACTGTTGATAGTCATCTCAATTTTTGTTATTGAAGTTCAATGATTACTTATTTGTTAATTCTATAAACAGGTCGAACCTAATTAACTTTACTTGATATTCTGTCTATAGTAAAATTCGAAATATTATATTTCTACTTACAGTACTTACATCCTTCCTATCGCTCGTCTTAATAGACTTTTGAAAGATTTGTTAATATTGCAGAAAAGAATTGAAGAAAAAGAGTAATTATATGATTATATCTCGATCGATTGAAATAGAATTAAATATTTATCAAAAAAGAAAAGGTAAATCATTGGTATAAAATCAACCGTTTTTTTTCGAATAAATCATTTTATCAAAGTTATATATATATTACTTGAAATGATGTATATCTTACTATGAGAGGATATAATTGACGTCAGTCAATAATCTGTTAAGCAAATTCATAATCTTAAACTTCAATTTTTATCAGTACTCAATCAATAAATGTTAAGACGTCATCGATAGTTTGTGGTCTATTGTATTTCTTACTACAAAATCAATACAAAAAAAAGATTTTAGAATAATTTTCACCGTCGAAACTATTAGATAATAAATGCGTTTCAGTAGAATCATCGCATCTTCGAAATATTTGCAAATGATGATGGTAGATCGATCGGTTCTAGTAGTAAAGAATTTTCTAAGTGTACAGCATTTATACTGATACTAAACGTGTTCGGATAAATACGTTAAATCGGGAATGAATAGATACATTTTAATTAAAAAACTCTCACCGATACTAACGAAAAAATGTACATCTCATTAGCCATTTTAGTCGAAATTGGTAAGAATTAATCGCATATGATATTTGAATAAGTTATCGTTGAACTGTTTAATTAGTCTCGAGTGTGGTTGTTATCTACCCTCACACTCATTATCAAATAAATTCAATTGTAGAAGAATTGCTTGATATATGATTTGTTGAAGAATAATTTAGTAATATTAGATTTGTTAAAAGGCTTCAAATTATTTCTATAATAACAACAATATGATAAGCGTTTTGTCTGATTTAGTCAAAGTATTTCTATTTTTAATACTTCGATTGGTTAAAATTTCTTCTAAATTATTGCAATGTAAAAAAAAAGAAATAGGAATCGAATTGATCCTATCATATTTTATTATTTCTATTCTCGTTTTATGTCTAAATTAATCTGGTAATACTCTTCTTATAATAGTATTATTTGTCAATTATAATTATTAACAAAATCATTTACATCGATATTCTCTCAAGATAACGATGTAATTCGTTGCAATTGTTCCAAAGTATTAAATTTAAAGATTCATAATAACGAAAGTTACATGACGTTCAAAGAATTTTTATTTCGATTTTCGTTATTTAAATAAAATTTATTTAATTTCGATCAACAGTCAATGTAACATATTCGAATCTATTTCATTTACGACATCCGTAACAAAACTGTTTGAATTCAATTTCGATAGATCGAAGTGAATATAATAGTTCGAATCGATGAATATGAATGAGAAACAATTTCTTCTTATTTAAAATAATTCTCTTTCGTAACAAACTCGTAGATATATTCAAAATCAAGTAAATATCTTCGCATTTCAATTAATAGTTTTATACACAGATTATAAGATGGGTAAATATATTGTTCAAGGAAGTAACATTGTGACCTATAAGATAATTCTATAATATATTACATCATGTCGAGATATGGATAGGTAGCTGAGAGATGAATACAACTGTTGATGTTTTATTAACTAACAATAATCTACATCCATCTATTCTCAATATAGAAATTATGACAAATAATAAAAAAGATTATTAATTAGAATCATTCTCCCTCTCTGTATATACACAACAACGTTTTCCTTTTTTTTCAAGATTTACAAGAAAATCAAAGTTACGATATAATGTTTATTACCATAGTATGATTCTATCAGTAATCATGTACAAGCATAAAACATTCATTATTCAATACTGAACTAATGATAAAACGATACAATTAAATAAAATAATGTTTATCATTTTCTCATGTAAATTAATTCGAAGATTTTCAAATTAAGTTTATGTAGAAATAGATGCAAAGTTTTCGATTGAAAAGTTTATATAAAGATGTTAAATATTACTTGTATTTATAGTTCGTTCTTTGAAATATTTCCATTCTTACTGATGAATAATTTTCTTCTATGTTTTATTATTATTGATACAACATAAATTACTAAAATTTTATTTCTATAGCTCTTATTCGAATCTCTGGAAAAATAAGTGAGGAATGTATTTCTATTAGTCTTACATCCTTTCCTACTACATAGCTATAGACGTGTTGCATGATAAGCAATAATATTAATATAGAATGTAAATAAATGCTTAAGAAGAAGAAGAAGAAGAAGTATTATCCTAATGGTAATGACATTTATAAATCATGTATGGCAAATATAAATAAGGAAGATAAATAATTTTTCTATTTCTGTCGACGACAAATCAAGACTCATCAGACATCGTTATATAGGATAATAATGATAATAGATGGAAAGAAAGAAAGAAATATAGACTGTAGTATATTATTGTTTCATTTGAAGAAAAAACAGCGAACATTGTTAATTGTTGTAGTATTTGTATGGTAGTAAGTATAGAAATGTTATTCTCTTCTATATAATCTCAGATGATATTTTCAAAAGAAATTTTTATTGGTACACGAAATTTGTTAAAGTATCTAATCATGTTTCTCATATTTTTAATCTCCGCATTAATAATGTTAAGTATGTGAGTTTCTAGAAAAAAACTGCTCAGTTTTAATTTAAGATAAATTCAACTTTTGAGTATAGTCTATAGATGATTTCATAAAAAATAATTAATCTGCTTTTACATTTCTAACTCATCGAATTTGTATATCATTCGAGAAATTAATTGTTACAACAAGACAAATGTATATGTGTCAGGGAAAAAAATAAAGTACGTTTTTAAATTAATTTAAAAAATCTTAAATGAAACTATTTCCTTTATTTCTTTGTATATTTATTTTTATGTGTAAAATTTAGAAAGTTGTAAAGTTGAGGATGTGGGTGGTGATGAAATCAATACCCACACCCACCCTCGTACTCAATGTTCGTCGTGCGCAACATTCGGTATATCGAATAACATATAACTGACATTATCTAGTTTCGCACTCAACAATCAAACAGAATAGAATTTTTTCACTTTTGCCTTCTTTGTGATACAACAACAACAACAATTGTCTTTACTCGATAATTAATAGTCCGAAAATGAAATATTTAATTTATCTATACTTAAAAATTATTTATTCTCGAGAGAGATGCAATTTTGTTCGATGTCAATTGCTTTAAACAAAATTTAAAAAGAAAAAGAAAAGAAAAGATCTTGAGTATTTGCTTCCCTTAATCCTGTAAATATTTTATCCAATAGCTAATTAACCTCAACCACTCGTTACAAATCTTTATACTTGATTAAATTCTTTCCAGCTACTTATTCATTCTCAGCATTTTTTCTTGGCTAATCATTCAGTTCTCCAGTACTGTTTAAGGGATTTTCATAGCTATCCAGTCATTTTTACTGATACTTTTCCGAGCAGAGATTATGAAATGAGCGGATATTTTATCTATTGTCAAATTCAATATATTGAGTGCTATTGAAATTTTTATTAGCTGTTTATTTCATGCTAGCAGTCCTCTTCGGGCTAAATTAAATAAATACATTTCGAAATAAAATGAGTGTATTAATAATGCAATGACATAGTAATCGATTGTCCATGATGAACTTGAGCATGAGAGAAAGAAATATATCAAAGATTTTACATATCGAAATCTTTATTCGAATTAATGAAATGTTTAATTAAAAAGCATTTCTTTTGTGAATCTTCGTTTAAAACTAATCTAAAACATCATTTTCGAACGTTAGGGTATATGAAGTTGTTGTTGCGTTGCTTACAATGAGTATGAAACGGTGAAAATCAATCGTAAATTTCTCCACTTCAAAACAAAATAAGTACAGATGTTCTGAAATAAAAAGTACTTGCGTCGTTTCACCTTTAACTTTTTCTTCCTTTTTCGTCATCGCCTTATTTGATCCATTTCTGCGATAATTTTCCAATGGCTTACTCAAACGAGTCCATTTTTTCAGAGATTTTGCAGATGGTAAAGAGACGTCATCACGTTACGCTCGTACAAGCTAATATATACGTATGATCGATAGATTGAGAAACTATTTGTGAAACACAGAGAGATCGTAAATATACGATTGTAATACTTTAACATTGTAAATGAATATGCATTGCATTTTTTCTTACATGTGTATATAATGTTTCGATTTATTAATATAATTTTAGGTAAGGAATATGCTAATTGATAATACTCGTATAATTATATTGCTTACAATATTTGTCATACTTGATAACTCATCATGCATGTCCAAAGAATTACGAATCTACAGAGAACCGTCTGGTTATAATTGTTTTTGGCAAGGAAAGTCGCCATTATGCTTTTTAAGTTCGAGCTGTCC